TTTAGTAGAGACAGGATTTCACCATGTTGCCCAGGCTGGTAAGAAGTAAGCCTTCTAATCCCACTTTGAAAATTCATCCCTGAATTAGAAAAAGAGTATTAAAAATGAATTTTCTTTTAGAACAAGATAAAATATTAAGTATAAAGTAAGTTTCAATTAAAATTAAAATTTGTTTTTATTTGAAAACTTAAAAATACTGCTGTGAAACAAAACAACAAGTAGTACCTACCTCTTTTATGCTTCTGTGTAGGTGGCAAGTGAAACTTTGGGGTTCAAAATAAGAATTTATTGAACAACAATGAGGGTATAGAGATTACAGCAGGAATAATGAAAGACAGCTATTAATAGTAAAAACACAGTAAAAGTACAGAGAAAAAACTGAGTTAATCTCTGAAAGTGCACTGCTTCATACCATAAACCTCTGCCTCAGCTCAGTGCTACGTCATAACAGAATACACAGCACACATTCCATTAGCTGTCAGAGTAATGAAGTAGGCACACATCTGGAAAATACCGCTGACACTCAGAGACTGAGAGAAATAAAGACAAATAACGTTTTAGTTTTACTATAAGTAAAGTCAAGGCTCCCACTGAAAGGCTCCGAGGGACCTCCTGGAGTCCCCAGGCCACATTTAAAGAACCACTCACTGTTCTAGATGTTGGAACCCACCATTACGGTACTTTAAGAGTCATTTCTGAAGATCACTGTGCATTCTTTACATTTTTAACCCTGAAGCGGGAGTGGTCATCCCGTGTCAAGATCCTCCAGGACATATTCTGTATCTTCTTGTAAAGTTAATTCTGATATCTTTTGTCATTTCATATAAATGAGGGCAAGAGTCAGGAAGCAGAAGAATGGTGAACGGTTTTATTACGTGAAATAATTTGACTAATTCATTCATTGATTTTTTTTAAATTAGAGAACTGTGTGCTTTTGGGGTAAGGCTAGTCTTTATTGGTGTAAAATCTTATCATAGAGACTTGATCCAGTTTATGGCTGCCAAGAATTAAGATTTGATAAAAACATCAAAGCTTCTTTATCTGGGGTCTTGCTGCCCATGCTTAACTGGGGGAAAACCTGGCTAGACTGTCACCAGGATAGTGTCTCTTGCTTCCTCTCTGGAGCACCAGTAGCACAGAGTGTGTGCTCCTGCCCCATCTACTTCTATTAGTGCACCATGTACATCTCCAGTCAAGAAACCAGAGTATGCTCAAACATTGAGTTTAATGTGTAATTAGGATTAAATTACCCATTAAAGTGATTTTATAGTAATGTGTTATTAAGATTGGAAAGTTGTTGAATTATAACATTTGATTCTAGGATGCATGTTTGGCTACATTTTAACAACACTGAAATGAGAATGTGTTTCGAAGACAGCATTTTTTTTTCTATTTTTGTGAAATAGTGTTTTTTTTTTTTTAAATTTAGAAATGTTATCTTCAAATTTTCTTTTTCGACATAATTACAAATGCCTGTTTCATGTGGAAGACTACAGTAGCTCTTTAGTGGTTTCTACATTTCTCTTTTAAAAGAGAAATAACAGATGCTAGCAGTAATTTATGAGTCTATATTCCTGAAATGTACATTTCCACATTATATGCTTCATAGTAAATAGGAAAATTAACATTAAACTATTGAATGTATATTTTTCCAAAAGGTGTGCTTCTTTTTAAAAAGAAACCATTTGCTTATGTTTTAAATTTGATATTTGTCATTTAATTCTGTTTATTGCAGGTTTACTTTAGGACAGTGGAACTTATAGAAGAGCCTATAAAAGGGTCTCCTGGTTTGAGTTTCTATTTCAAAATTAATGGATTTCCCATATTTCTAAAAGGTTCAAACTGGATCCCACCAGATTCATTCCAGGACCGAGTAACCTCTAAGTTGTAAGTTATTGTCTTTCTTTCTTGTTTCTCTTTTAATTGACAGTCCTGCAAAGATTAAGGTTTACTCATTTTTATCTTTAGTCCCTAGGCAAGGAACTAAAAGATAGTGTAGAATTCTAGATGATGGAAACTTTAAAATGGACAGGATTTTAAGAAATCATGTATTCCACTCTCCTGGACTACAGGTGGTCTTACAGCTGAATGATTTGAGACTGTTGAAGCCATTTGATTTTTAGAAAACTATTATATGTTTACTCTGGAGAAATAGGAAAATGACTAATTCATATATTGAATAGTTAGTCCCTGAAAAAAAATATTAAATTCTACTTTCTTCAGCTTTTCAGAGGATACTTTAAATGTTTTTGAGTGTGAGTTTGAAAGATAGGAACACATATTTACTTTGCTTTTTTATTTACTATTTTTTTTTTTTTTTTTTTNCTCACTTGGTTGCCTAGACTGGAGTGCAGTGGTGCTATCTCAGCTCACTGCAACCCCTACCTCCCAGGCCCAAATGATTATCCTGCCTCAGCCTCCCAAGTAGCTGGGATTACAGTCATGGGCTACTACCACCTGGGTAATTTTTGTATTTTTAATAGAGATGGGGTTTCACCATTTTCGTCAGGCTGGTCTTGAAATCCTGACCCCAAATGATCCACCTACCTTGGCCTCCCAAAGTGTTGAGATTACAGGTGTGGGCCACTGGGCCTGGCCCCGTGTTTACCTTTCTGTGCTAATATATTTGCATATTCTTTTTTTAAAAATATACTTTAAGTTCTTTGTTTCATAGGTATACATGTACAATGGTGGTTTGCTGCATCTATTACCCTGTCATCTACATTAGGCATTTCTCCTAATGCTATCCCTCCTCTGGCCCTCCACCCCTCTGCTATCCCTCCCTTAGCCCCCCAACTCCCAAAAGGCCCTGGTATATGATGTTCCCCTCCCTGTGCCCATGTGTTTTCATTGTTCAACACTCACTTATGAGTGAGAACATGCAGTGTTTGGTTTTCTGTTCTTGTGTCAGTTTGCTGAGAATGATAGTTTCCAGCTTCATCCATGTCCCTACAAAGGATGTAAGATCATTCTTTTTTATGGGTGCATGGTATTCCATGGTGTATATGTGCCACATTTTCTTTAACCAGTCTGTCATTGATGGGCATTTGGGTTGGTTTCAGGTCTTTGCTGTTGTGAAAAGTGCAACAATAAAAATAAATGTGCATATGTCTTTATAACAGAATGATTTATAATCCTTTGGGTATATGCCCAGTAATGGGATTGCTGGGTCAAATGGTATTTTTGGTTCTAGATCCTGAGGAATCGCCACACTGTCTTCCACATGGTTGAAGTGATTTACACTCCCACTAACAGTGTAAAAGCATTCCTATTTCTCCACATCCTCTCTAGCATCTGTTGTCTCCTGATTTTTTAATGATTGCCATTCTAACTGTCATGAGATGATATTTCATTGTGGTTTTGATTTTCATTTCTCTAATGATTAGTGATGATGAGCCTTTTTTCATGTTTGTTGGCTGCATAAATGTCTTCTTTTGAGAAATATCTGTTCATACCCTTTGCCTGCTTTTTGATGGGGTTGTTTTTTCTTGTAAATTTGTTTGAGTTCTTTTTGGATTCTGAATATTAGCCCTTTGTCAGATGAGTAGATTGCAAACAATTTTTTCCCATTGTGTTGGTTGCTGGTTCATTCTAATGATAGTTTCTTTTTGCTGTGCAGAAGCTCTTAAGTTTAGCTAGATCCCAATTGTCTATTTTAGCTTTTGTTGACATTGCTTTTGGTGTTTTAGTCATGAAGTCCTTGCCCATGCCTATGTCTTTAATGGTGTTGTCTAGGTTTTCTTCTAGAGTTTTGATTGTTTTGGATCTTATATTTAAGTCTTTAATCCATCTTGAGTTAATTTTTGTATAAGGTGTAAGGAAGGAATCCAGTTTCAGCTTTCTGCATATTGCTAGTCAGTTTTCCCAACACCATTTATTAAATAGAGAATCCTTCCCCATTGCTTGGTTTTGTCAGGTTTGTCAAAGATTAGATGGTTGTGGATGTATGGCATTATTTCTGAGGCCTCTTTTCTGTTCTATTTGTCTATATGTCTGTTTTGATACCAGTACCATGCTGTTTTGATTACTGTAGCCTTGTAATATAATTTGAAGTCAGGTAGCATGATGCCTCAAGCTTTGGTTTTGTTTTGCTTAGGATTGCCTTGATTATGTGGGCTCTTTTTTGGTTCCATGTGAAATTTAAGGTGTTTTTTTTCCAATTCTGTGAAGAAAGTTAATGGTAGCTTGATGAGGATAACATTGAATCTATAAGTTATCTTGGGCAGTACAGCCATTTTCATGATATTTATTATTTCTAATCATGAGCATGGAATGTTTTTCCATGTGTTTGTGTCCTGTCTGATTTTCTTGAGCAGTGGTTTGTAGTTCTCCTTGAAGAGGTCCTTCACAACCCTTGATAGCTGTATTCCTAGGTATTTTATTCTCTTTGTAGCAATTGTGAATGGGAATTCACTCATGATTTGGCTTTCTGTTTGTCTGTTGTTGGCGTATAGGAATGGTTGTGATTTTTGCAAATTGGTTTTGTATCCTGAGACTTTGCTAAAGTTTCTTATCAGCTTAAGGAGATTTTGGGCTGAGATGGTGGGGTCTTCTAAATATAAAATCATGTTGTCTGCAAATAGACAATTTGACTTCATATTTTCCTAATTATCCTTTATTTCTTTCTCTTGCCTCACTGCCCTGGCCAGAACTTTGAATTCTATGTTGAATAGGAGTGGTGAGAGAGGGCATCCTTGTCTTGTGCCAGTTTTCAAAGGGAATGCTTCCAGTTTTTGCTGATTCAGTGTGATATTGGCTGTGGGTTTGTCATACATAGCTTTTATTATTTTGAGATATGTTCCATCAATACCTGGTTTATTGAAAGTTTTTAGCATAAAGCGCTGTTGAATTTTGTCAAAGGTCTTCTCTGCATCTATTGAGATAATCATATGATTTTTGTCTTTGGTTCTGTTTACGTAATGGATTGCATTTATAGATTTGTGTATGTTGAACCACCTTGCATCCCAGGGTTGAAGCCAACTTGATCATGATGGATAAGTTTTTGATGTGCTGTTGGATTCAATTTTCCAGTATTTTCTTGAGGATTTTCGCATTGATGTTCATCATGGATATTGGCCTGAAATTTTCTTTTTTAGTTGTGTCTCTGTCAGGTTTTGGTATCAGAATGATGTTGGTCTCATAAAATGTGTTAGAAAGGAGTCCCTCTTTTTGTATTGTTTGGGACAGTTTCAGAAGGAATGGTACCAGCTTCTCTTTGTACCTCTGGTAGAATTTGGCTGTGGACCCGTCTGGTTCTGAATTTTTTTTTTGGTTGGTAGGCTATTAATTGCTGCCTCAATTTCAGACCTTGTTGTTGGTCTGTCAGGGATTCGACTTCTTTTTGGTTTAGTCTTGGGAAACTGTAAGTGTCCAGGAATTTATCCATTTCTTCTAGATTGTCTGGTTTATTTTCATAGTGATGTTTGTAGTATTCTCTGATGGTAGTTTGTATTTCTGTGAGACTGGTGGTGATATCCCGTTTATTATTTTTATTGCATCTATTTGATTCTTCTCTCTTTTCTTCTTTATTAATCTGGCTAGCTGTCTATCTAATTTGTTGATCATTTCAAAAAGCCAGCTTCTGGATTCATTAATTTTTTGAAGGGTTTTTCATGTCTCTATCTCCATCAGTTATGCTCTGATCTTAGTTATTTCTTGTCTTCTGCTAGCTTTTGAATTTGTTTGTTCTTGCTTCTCTAGTTCTTTTAATCATGATGTTAGGGTGTCAATTTTAGAGATCTTTCCTGCTTTCTCTTGTGGGGATTTAATGCTATAAATTTCCCTCTACACACTGCTTTAAATGTGTCCCAGAGATTCTGGTATGTTGTGTCTTCATTTTCATTTGTTTTAAAGAACATCTTTATTTCAGATTTCATTTCATTAAGTATCCCATAGTCATTCAGGAGCAGGTTGTTCAGTTTCCATGTAGTTGTGTGGTTTTGAGTGAGTTTCTTAATTCTGAGTTCTCGTTTGATTGCACTGTGGTCTGAGACACTGTTTGTTAGGATTTCTGTTCTTTTACATTTGCTGAGGAGCGTTGTACTTCCAATTATGTGATCAATATTAGAATAAGTATGATGTGGTGCTGAGAAGAATGTATACTCTGTGGATTTGGGGTGGAGAGTTCTGTAGATGCCTATTAGGTTTGCTTGTTCCAGAGCTGAGTTCAAGTCTTGGATATTCTTGTTAATTTTCTGTCTCATTGACCTGTCTAATATTGATAGTGGGGTGTTAAAGTCTCCCACTATTATTGTTTGGGAGTCTAAGTCTTTTTTTCGGTCTTTAAGAAATTATTTTATGTATCTGGGTGCTCCTGTATTGGGTGCATATATATTTAGGATAGATAGCTCTTCTTGTTACATTGATCTCTCTGCCATTATGTAATGCCTTTCTTTGTCTCTTTTGATCTTTGTTGGTTTAAAGTCTGTTTTATCAGAGACTAGGATTGCAATTCCTGCTTTTCTTTTTTTCTTTTTTTTTTTTTTTTTGTTTTCCATTGGCTTGGCAAATTTTCCTCTATCCCTTTATTTTGAGCCTATGCATGTCTTTGCATGTGAGATGGGTCTCTTGAATACAACACAATGATGGCTCTTGACCCTTTATCCAATTTGCCAGTCTCTGTCTTTTAATTGGGGAGTTTAGGCCATTTACATTTAAGATTAATATTGTTATGTGTGAATTTGATCCTGCCTTTATGATGCTAGCTGGTTGTTTTGCCCATTAGTTGATATAGTTTCTTCATTGTGTTGATGGGGATTTTACAATTTAGTATGTTTTTGCAGTGGCTGGTACTGATTGTTCCGTTCCATGTTTAGTGCTTCCTTCAGGAGCTCTTGTAAGGCAGGCTGGGTGGTGACAAAATCTCTCAGTTGTTGCTTGTCTGTAATTGATTTTATTTCTCCTCTGCTTATAAAGCTTAGGTTGACTGGATATGAAATTCTGGGTTGAAAATTCTTTAACAATGTTGAATATTGGCCCCTAATCTCTTCTAGCTTTTAGGGTTTCTCCTGAGAGATCTGCTGTGAGTCTGATGGGCTTCCCTTTGTGAGTAACTCGACTTTTCTCTCTGGCTGCTCTTAGCATTTTTTCCTTCATTTCAACCTTGGTGAATCTGCCAATTATGTGTCTTGGGGTTGCTCTTCTTGAGGAGTATCTTTGTGGTGTTCTCTGTATTTCCTGAATTTGGATGTTAGCCTGTCTTGCTAGGTTGGGGATGTTCTCTTGGATAACATCCTGAAGAGTGTTTTCCAACTTGGTTTCATTCTCCCCATCACTTTCAGATACATCGATCAAACGTAGATTTGGTCTTTTCACATAATTTCATGTTTCTTGGAGGTTTTGTTCATTTCTTTTCACTATTTTTTCTCTAATCTTGCCTTATTGTTTTATTTCATTGAGTTTATCTTCAATCTCTGATTTACTTTCTTCCACTTGATTGATTTGGCTATTGCAACTTTTATATGCTTCACGAAATTCTTGTGCTGTATTTTTTAGCCCCATCAGGTCATTTATATTCTTCTCTAAAGTGTTTATTCTAGTTAGCATTTCATTTAACCTTTTTCCAAGGTTCTTAGCTTTCTTGCCTTGGGTTAGAATATACTCTGTTAGCTCAGAGAAGTTTATTACCCACCTCCTGAAGCCTGCTTCTGTCAATTTGTCAAACTCATTCTCCATCCAGTTTTGTTCTTTTGCTGGTGAGGAGTTGTGATCTCTTGGAGGAGAAGAGGTGTTCTGGTTTTTGGAATTTTCAGCCTTTGTTTGTGCTGGTTTTTTCCCATCTTCGTAGATTTATCTACCTTTGGTCTTTGAAGTTGGTGCTTTTGGATGGGGTCTCTGAGTGGACATCCTTTCTGTTGATGCTGAAACTATTTCTTTCTGTTTGTTAGTTTTCCTTCTAACATCAGCCCCTCTGCTGCAGGTCTGCTGGAGTTTGCTGGAGGTCTACTCCAGACCCTGCTTACCTGGGAATCACTAGCAGGGGCTTCAGAACAGCAAAGATTGGTGCCTGTTCCTTCCACTGGTAGCTTCGTCCCAGAAGCATACCTGCCAGATGCCTACCGGAGCTTTCCTATCTGAGGTGTCTGTTGGCCCCTGCTGGAAGGTGTCTGCTAGTCAGGATACACGGGGGTCAGGGAGCCACTTGAGGAGGCAGTCTGTTCCTTATCAGAGCTAGAATGCTGTGCTGGGAGACCCACTGCATTCTTTACAGCTGCAAGGCAGGGATGTTTAAGTCTTCTGAAGCTGTACCCACAATTGTCCCTTTCCCCAGATGCTCTGTCCCAGGAAGATTGGGGTTTATTTATAAGTCCCTGAAGGGCTTCTGCTTTTTTTCAGCAATGCCCTGCCCAGCGAGGAGGGAGTCTAGTGACACACTCTGCCTGCAGAGGCCTTGCTGAGCTTCTGTTGTCTCCACTCAGTTCAAACTTCCCTGCAACTTTGTTTGGAGGTTAAAACCACCTACTTGAGCCTTAGCAATGGCAGATGTCCCTCCCCCCATGGAGGAGCTCAAACCTCCCAGTTCTCAGACTACTGTGCTGGCTGTGAGAATTTCAAGCCAGTGAAACTTAGCTTGCTGGTCTTTGTAGGGGTGGGACCTGGCCGAGCCAGATCACTTGACTCCCTGGCTTCAGCCCCCTTTTTCAGGGTAGTGAAGAGTTTTGTGTCACTGGTGTTCCAGGTGCTACTGGGGTATGAGAAAAAGAAAACTGCTGTGGCTAGCTTGGTGTCTTTCCAAATAGATGCTCAGTTTTGTGCTGGAAACTCAGGGCCTTGGTGTTGTAGGCACCAGACGGAATCTCCTGGTCTGCAGGTTGTGAAGACCATGGGAAAAGCACAGTATCTGGGCTGGAGTGCCAGGAACAGTCCTTAATGGCTTCCCTTGGCTAGGAGAGGGAGTTCTCTAGCCCTTTGCACTTCCCAGGTGAGGTGATGCCCCACCCTGCTTTGACTTACCCTCCTTCAGCTGCACCCACTGTCTAACCAGTCCCAATGAGATGAACCAGGTACCTCAGTGGGAAATGCAGAGATTACCCGCCTTCTGTGTCGCTCTTGCTGGGAACTGCACACCAGAGCTGTTCCTATTTGGCCATCTTGCCAGCAGTTCCAATACTTGCATATTCTTGTACTTTTATCTTAACAAAAGAACTAGAAGAAATCTTGTGTGTCGTGGGGGTGTGGTTGTGGGAGGATGGGAAGGAAACTGGGAGCTGTTGGTCAGAGTATAGAATGCAGCAGATATGAAGGAGAACAAGTCCAGAGATCTGATGTGCCCTAGGACTGTGGAGAAAAAAAAAATTGTGCTATTTATGGGATTCAGGCTAAATGAGTAGATTTTGGCTACTCTGTCCACAAACACAGAAAGAGTGGGTAACTATGTAGGACAGCAGTCCCCAGCCTTTTTAGCACCAAGGACCAGTTTCATGGAAGACAGTTTTTCCACAGATTGGGGGCAGAGGGTGGGGGGATAGTTTTGGGATGAAACTGTTCCACCTCAGATCATCAGGAATTAGATTCTCATAAGGAGCATGCAACCTGGATCCCTCGCATGCACAGTTCACAATGGGGTTCCTGCTCTTTTAAGAATCTAATGTGCCACTGATCTGACAGGAGGTCAGGTAGTAACGCTTGCTCACCTGCTGCTCACCTTGTGCTGGTCCATGGCCGCCTGGCCCATGGTCCAGTCCATGGCCTGGGGGTTGGGACTCCTAATGTAGGATGGTGAGTATGTTAGTGTGTTTCACTATAGTTATTTTTAACTATCTATATGTATCCCATAACATCATGTCATATACCTTAAATATACATAATACAATTTATTTAAAAAAAATAGCCTTAACGGTTCTAGATCTAGGGAAAAAAATAAAAATGTTTTTCTGAGACTGCAAGAATAGAACTTTGGAAGAAAGTAATATTTTCTAATTGGATCTGTAAACTTACATCTTTTTGATGCTGAAAATAAACTTTATGAAATGAAAATAAACACATTTAAACTTGTTTATTATCTGTTAAATAACATTTTAGCATATTTACAAATGTATAAGTGTGCATTATAGTTTATTATTTGATGTTTAGAATGTAAATGTCAGTAACTAAACCCAGATTTTTTTCTAAAAGTTGTGGTAATTTCCTTTTACTTTAAAACGTGTCTATTTAGATTTCATAAGAAAATGAAGTTGTTCTTCAGACATAGACACGAGATAATTGGCTCTGTCTTCTCCTTTTCAAATGCTCCTCTCTCCTCTTGGCTGGGGCTGGGTTGGCTGTGGTGGTTCAGTCCAGCTGGGCCAATTGGCAAGCCTGCCTGCGGTGCCTGTGCTGAGCTCGCAGTGCCTGGGTCTGCCCAGCCTGTCATTTGGCTTGAGCAGTGTTCTGGGTATGGAGGGAGGGTACATGCTCTCAAGCTGCCTGTAAGTTTCTAGATCTTCCTGAGGGCCATGTGAATAGGAATTGGAAAAGGTAGAAAGAAAATTTACTAGAGAAAGAAATACTGGGCTGGAGGAATTCTATACAAGGAGATAGGGGGTAACAGGCACTAATACTCAAGTCTTGATATTGTTTTATAGTTTGGGGGAGTTATATAGAATTAGCGGATACTTTCCAAGGCTTACAATTGTATTTTTATAGGAATAAATATAAAACAAAAATTTAATTTTAAAAATAGTATAATAATGTTACTAAAAATTTAGTAGGTAAAGATATCACCCATCCTTTTTCTGTTTATGTGTTTACAGCTAATGTGTACATAATTTTATCTTCCTTTAATTTGCATTATAACCAAACCATCATGATTTTAGAGTATGTTTTTCTAAACACATTTAGAAATGTGTTTATCTGCCACAATCTGTTTGTTTGTTTGTTTGTTTTCAAATTAGGATTTGTTTATAAAATGTCTTCTACAGGTTACAGCTCCTTTTGCAGTCTGTTGTGGATGCTAACATGAATACTCTTCGGGTTTGGGGAGGAGGAATTTATGAGCAGGATGAATTCTATGAACTCTGTGATGAACTAGGAATAATGGTGAGAAGTTGATAGCATTTTATATATTGATAAGTTACTGTATCCTCAGTTTGACTGCCAACGTGCTGAATGATGCAATTGCTCTTTCCTTCCTGTCTCAGAGCCAGGAATGATATTCCATTTTGGGCCATAGGAATAAATGGCATCTTATAAACTCAGAGCCATAGGTGATAGCAACTACCATAATTATTTATTTTTAAATGATAGATGTCCTATAAATTATTTATATCCCAGTATATATATACCTAATTTTAAAATAATTTTCTTTGTGATATTAGGAATGTATATAAAAGAAAACAGAATATTTAAAACACTTAAAGGAGATCTGACAAAACTTAAAGAGAAGAAAATATGAAATTAAGTAAAGAAAAGGTGTGTTTGATATTGTTTTTCTAAATTTTTTCTGATTTTTAATTTTTGATTTTTCTTTTCTTGAGATGGAATCTCACTCTGTCCCAGGCTGGAATGCAGTGGTACGATCTCAGCTCACAGCACCCTCCCTCACCCCGGGTTCAAGCGATTATCCTGCCCCAACCTCCAGAGCAGCTGGGATTATAGGCATGTACTAAATTTTGTATTTTTAGTAAATTAGCATCCAGCTAATTTTTGTATTTTTAATAGAGCTGGGGTTTCACCGTGTTGGTCAGGCTGGCCTCGAACTCCTGGCCTCAGGTGATCCACCCGCTTTGGCCTCCCAAAATGCTGAGATTACAGATGTGAGCTACTGTGGCTGGCCCTAATATTGTTATTAGGTACTTCTAACATGTTTTGCAATTTTGAGGATAAAACAAAGAAAATGTATTCTGTTAATTTTATTATTATTGTTCTAAAATATAAAGAGTATCACAGGAGACTAGGAATTATATTAATGATAATGCTGATGGTTATTGTAATGATGACAATATTCTATAATATTTACTGAGTGTTAGGCATTGTTCTAAGTGCTCTATATATTTTATTTTATCTTCATGCCCATTCAGTGAGGTAGTTACTATTCTCTAACCCTATTTACAGATAAGGAAACTGACACATGGAGAGGTTAAATATTTTACCCAAACTCTAACAGCCCGTTTATGGTGGAATCAAGATTCTGACTCAGACAGGCTATGTTCTTTTTTCTTTTTTCTTTCTTTCTTTTCTTTTCTTTTTTCTTTTTCTTCTTCCTTTTTTTGAGACGAACCGTCACTCTGTTGCCCGGGCTGGAATGCAGCAGTGTGATTTTGGCTCACTGCAGCCTCCGCCTCCCAGGTTCAAGCAATTCTCCTGCCTCAGCCTCCCAAGTAGCTAGGATTACAGGTGTGTGCCACCATGCCTGGCTAATTTTTGTATTTTTAGTAGAGACAGAGTTTCACCATGTTGGCCAGGCTGGTCTCGAACTGCTGACCTCAGGTGATCCACCCTCCTTTGCCTCCCAAAGTGCTGGGATTATAGGCATGAGCCACAGCACCCAGCTGGGGCTATGTTCTTAACCATTGCATCACACAGCCTCCTTAGAAAGGGACTTACATGGTTTCATTACTAAATTGTGCATGTAGTAAGCCTTTTGTCCATGAAAAGTTAACTCTTTATAAATGAAGTATGATTCTTAACAGTCATTGAGTCTTAACCAAAGGTATTCTTAATACCTTTGTTATTAAGGTGCATCTCTTAATACCAAATGCTTGGTGAAAATCAGAATGAATTAGGAGTGAGGAGGGGCTGGAGGGAAGTCTCATTTTGTGTCCCCTCCACACATTTTTTTCCTTTTTCAAATTCTTCCATCTTCCTTTTCTTTTATACCTGCCTAGGATTTTCTCTTCTCGGGCTTCTGTACACTTTTGTGCAGCTCTGGGAAGTCCTAATGTCTGTGATACATTTCCTGGTTGCCTGTATGCATAGCGGTCCCCCAGTGATCACACTCATCGGGCCAACTTGATTTTTCATTTGTGTGAAAGATAATGCCTAGAGCTCAGAATAAAGACTTTCTTCTGTGTAATAAAACTTATGGAAGTGTTATATTACCTTTTATTTGATTTGCTAGGTGTGGCAGGATTTTATGTTTGCCTGTGCCCTTTATCCAACTGATCAAGACTTCCTGGATTCAGTGAGAGCAGAAGTTTCTTACCAGGTATGTTATTTCCCTTCCAAGAAGAAAGAAAACACATCATATGTTTTAGTTTTGCCTTTTAAAAAATCTTGCTTCATTTTTGGTGTTTGTTATCTACTAAATCCCATGAAAAATTACACAGTCAGGTAATTGACAACCTAGGTGATTCTACCCAGTATGATGGCTTTACCATCATCTATTTGCTGATGACTCCCAGATTTATCCCCAGGTCTGATGTCTCTAGTGAATTCCTCTTTCTTACATCCAACTGCCTACCTGGTGCCTCTGCTTGGAGGTTTAACAGGCATCTGAAATGTAATATGTACAAACGAAACGTGTATTGCCTCCCCCAATCTTGCTTCTTCTGAAGTTTTCACATCAGCAAAAGCAATGCCACTGTTTGAATTGCTCAGGATAAAATTTTAAATTGATAATTGATTCCTCAATTTATTTTGGATTCCACATATTGACATTTATATTTATATTCACAGATATATAAATGCAAGGAAGTGATTATATCCTTTTTCTGTCCACTGAAAAGACCTAGAAATAATGCCCCAGATTATAGTATTGAGTATTCTTATATTGAAATGATCTTTCCTGTTAAGAGAAAAGCTTCTTAGAGATGGCTGACTCTAGGTCTGACACTGGAAATATATTAGATGATCCTGGCCGATCTTCTTTTTACAAATGGCAATGGTGTTCATATAATATTATCAATTGATAATTTTAGCTACAGATCTGAAGTTTATCAGCTGTGTGCTCCATATACTTATTTCTGCAGCAAGGTCTGTTTAAGGGATGATCATTCTTTGAAAAACAGATTGCATTACATTTCCTCTCCCCTAAATATTAAGTGCGTGGCATGGGTTTCTATGTACAATCAGAGTGGGATGCTTGACAATACAAGAAAATTCTGAATTATGATGTACTCCCAAAATACAGTTTTGGAACCAACTTGTGAATGTATCTTATGTTAGTAAAATACTGTTGAAACATTGGACTGATTCATTAGCATCCATTAGAAATCATCACTGCACCAGGAGATCACTCCTACTTTGTAAAGAATTTGCAAGACTGTGCAGACATAATGAGTTTTGATAGTGCTCTGCAACATGTTAAAGAAGGGAACAAATCCATTTTCTTGGTAACCTCAGATAAAGCTACAATGTGGATCATTATCGACTCTGACTTCAACTTCTCATTTCCAACTGTCTGCCAGATTTTTTGCAATGTTGATGTACAAAGAGCAAATATTTTGATATTTTTTCCTGAATGGTGAGCCTGCCACCTTAGGGAGGTCACTTTGCCTCTTGAGCCTCAATTTCTGTATCTATGACTCTGGTATGATGTCACTCCTCATGAAACTGTTTCAAAGATTAAATAGGATAATATATGGAAGGCATGCAGTATAAAAGAAATAACAAATAATCCCAGCTGTCCCACTACCACCACTAACTCAGCATGTCTTCATTTTTCTTTTTAGCAGGAAATATGAAAGTTATTGATACTTTCTTTTTTCTCACCTCCCACATCCAACTGGTTTTAAAGTTGAGACAATTTTTTGATGCCAATGTTACTTGTATTTGTATTTACTTTCTCACCCCTATACTTACTGCTCTAGCTCAAATCCTATTTTTCTGTCTCCTCAATCATTGCATTTGTTTTCTGATTGGGCTCCCTAGTATTGGTCTCTTTCAATATGTACATACTCAACAGAGCTGCCAAAGTCATCTTCCACTGACACATTTTAAGTCATACTACATTCCTGCTCAGAACCCTGATCCTGGAATATCTCAACATGCAGATAACAAGGAAGCTATCAAAGTTACATCAAAAGGATTTTGCGAGATTCTGAGCAGCCAAAAAGGGGACAATTTAAGATTCATTAAGGATAAGGGTGTCAATGAATTGAATCCATCAAGTGTGTTGAAATCTAGAGTTCATAATATAATGTCTGCAGATGTATATTTTGTGAAAAACCATACAGAAATGCAAGGAAGCGATTTCTATAACACTCAAGATAGTGGTTACTTTTGGAAGGAGGAAGGGGCTGTGATTAGGAAGAGGCACGTGTAGGGCTTCCCGTGTGGCTGCCCTGGGTGGTGGCTACAAGGATGATTGCCTTATAATAATTCACCACATCATAATTTGTTTTCTGTAACTGTGTTTCATTTTAAAATAAAAGGTTTAAAAAGTACACTCAAATCCTTCCCTTGCCAGCAGCTCCCCTGAGGTAGCTTCTTGCCCTCTGGGTAAGCATAAGATCCTTTTGTGCGGGACCCCATCCTGCTGGTGTCCACACTTGTTCAGGCACCATCTCCCTCTTGCTGTCTATGTCCTGGACCATCTTCTCCATCCCCTGCGCTTGTGGGCCACTTCCTTTGTTCTCCTTTGGCCCCTCTTACCTTGAGCATGGGAAAAACCTTTTTCTATCTGCAAGTGTAGATTAGGTCACTCTTCTTTTGCCTTTTGTGACACAAATCACACCTTGAATTACTTGTTCAAGGATTTGTCACCCTTCAAGATTGCCATCTCCCTGAGGCCTAGGGCTCATTCCCCTCTGTGTCCCACTCTGTGGATTGTTCACAAAGTGGATAGATGAATAGATGAATGAATAACTTTAAACATATTAATTATAGTTACACAGGTTGTAAGCGTTTCAATTTTATTTTTAGTTTTCTTTCCTATAAATAATTAAAATATAACATCTATGCATCTTCAGTTCTTTGATGTATTATTAAAGATAACAAGAACCATTTTATGCAGAGCTTGTTAAAATTTTAAAGTAAAGCTTACCATAAAACTCTAAATCAGCTTGAANTGCAAAGCATGGTGCCAATGCCACAGAAAAGGTCACCTCGGTGGTCAAGACAAACTCTGTCTACTTCAGTTCCCTCACAGGAAAAGTGATATCAACACAGTGTCACTGAAGCTTTTTGCCCCTTCAGGTTATATTTGTATTTTCATCAGTGGCATAAATATGTCAGTCACAGGCGGTAGCAGCTGTCCCTTTCCTGGGCGTGTTCAAAGACAAAAAAAGGAAATAGTGTTTATATGGCTGGCCAAGAAAAACACAAGATTTAATTATAAAAAAATGAAATATCTTTTTAATATACCTTCAGTGTATCTCTATTTTGTGTATGTGAGTTTCTGAGCTTGAAAGGAGAACACACTGAGGACATCAGTGGGGGCGCTGTCAGTGTAATCATGTATTACAGTGAAAGTGAATGTATGCGGTAACATTGCCAAAACATGCTCCAAAAGAATTTCTCTTGACCGTTGACTCACTCTGCCATCCTTAAAGGAATTTAATTGCTCTCTGTTGGGGCCCATGTCCCAGGGTGTTAGAAGAAGGGACATGTCTGAGTCTGTCCAGTGCAAACATAGCACAAGTGGATCCTTTTGCCTTTATGCAGGGCCAGCCCAGATGAGCTCAGTTTATGTAGGCCTCATGTGGCATAGTTTGCAGGGAGATTCTCTAATTTCTCATGTATAATTAGATATGTTAGTTGATTTCTCAGGACATGACATTGATAGTTATTTCAGAAGACATCACTGATTGCCCTAATCTGTTTTCCTTTAGAATATTCCATATTTGTCTTTAACTGCCGGCATACCTCTAGTACTCACTTGCTTTGTAGAATCTTCTCTAATTTTCCTTCTGGTTTTCTGATATCGGTGGACACTGCATAGGTACCCCCGTTCTCTTTCAGTGATAGTGATTGCTTTGCCTCATTTATTTCTTCACATAAAACTCCAACTTGTTCTTGGGAACCAATCCCCAAAATATAATGTCTCCTGCCTTTTGTATTTCCTGGAAGGTTTTTTGTGGCAATCTGCATAATGATGAATTTATTCATTCTCTTTTTCTTTCTCTTTCTAAAAAAGGGATTATATTGTCTTCAGTTTTTATACAGCAAAGAAGAGAAACCCTATGTATCAGTGTTTATAAAATCTAGTTAAAAAAAATCTCAAAGAGTTCCCTAAATGTATTCCTACAGCTAAGATGACTAGCCATTTTCAAATTAGGTTTTTGGCACATAAGAATTTATGTGCAGAAATGCAAGGGATCTAATTTTATAGGTAATTATAGCTCTGAGTTTTTATATGTTAACTGTTTGAAAATCATTTTATGTTTTAATTTTCAGATCAAGAGACTGAAATCTCATCCCTCTATCATCATATGGAGTGGCAATAATGAAAATGAGGCAGCGCTGATGATGAATTGGTATCATATCAATTTCACTGACCGGCCAACCTATATCAAGGACTATGTGACACTCTATGTGAAAAACATCAGAGAGCTTGTATTGGCAGTAAGTAATGATTTTTAATGCAGCAGAACTTAAGAATCTATCTTTAAAATGGATAAGTTTGAATATAGTTATAGTATGTTCTATGGCTCTTTTTAGGACTGTCTTCAACAGTATCATTTGAATACAGAGTATCCCATTGTAGTGCAGCAACAGGTGAAAGGATTCATTTGCTGTGGAGAATTAACTTATCTGTGGATCCCTCCACACATACATCAATGCAGTGCTTACAATGCCAGGTTGTCACATGCTCCTTGGAGTCCATCCGTGGGTCCTGAAAAGTTTAGAATCTGTAGATTAGATGATTATTGATATGCCACTTCTACAATTCTGTAATTGTAAATGTTTAAGTAGAATTTGGCATATCTCACATGTGAACATCCTGGTATGTGATTTAAGGGGCAAAGAGAGATGAGAGAGCTGGTCTCCAACCCCACTGTAGGGCCCTGGCTCCATAGCGGTTCTCTGCACCAGTATTTGTCTAATTGGCATATTATACGGGCATATATTAATATAAATTGGCCTTTTGTGAGGAAAAAGCAGCATTTTTTAAAGTAATGCCTTCACAAGTTTTAACTTTAAAAAATAAACCCCATGTTTAACATGTGATTTAATAATCTGGTTGTCTTTATACTTTCGTATCTATAATTAGATGTTTTAAATATCTGGGTATATCCAGAAGCAATTTGAAACGGGACCTATTTTTTAAAATAGTATGTGATATTAGCACCTAAATATGCCCAGTTGATGGCCCTATTCCATTTATGAGAAGAAGTTTCACTTGAGGATTCATGAAAAACATAGATTCAAATTTATAGCTTACCTGACATACTAAGTCATGTGCCATAAAGACTTTTTCTATTTACAAAATGTGATGGTACAAGTTTGAAATAATATTTACAGAATACTTATTTTATAATCTTTTTTTTCACAATATTGGTGTTATATTTTTCATGTTTCATGGATTTATAGTTTCTGAGGATTTTCATTTTATAGCATAGTGGTTAAGTACTCATGCTTTGAAATCCTGGCTGGGCCACTTCCTGTCTGTATAATCTTGGGCAAGTTACTTAATCTTCATTTTCCCTTCTATAACATTAGGTTAAAAATATGAGGTGACTTTTAAGAGTTATGTGGACTAAGTGAGATGATGGATGGAAGATACATGACTCGGTCTGACACATAGTAACCGTTTTTTTTGTTTTTTTTTTTTTTTTT